GTGGGCCCGCGGGGGGGGGGGGGGAGCATTGCGAGTGGTACCCACACCCCCCATCCTTCTTCACAAACACATGCTGCCCACCCAAGCTGCACACTGCTGCCGCTCCCCTGGGCACAGGCTCTGTGTTGCAGCTAGTCCCAACCCCATGCTCTGTGCCCCCACCCAGCTGCAGCCCTACCCCCACCACTTCCTTACCTGCTGCCCAGAGTGAGCCAGATGCCCGGGAAGTGGAGCATAGACAAGGGGCAAAAAAATTATTTGGGGGAGCTGAGTGTGTGCTCACATTGCGTGTGTCCCCCCGCAGCAGGTAAGTCTGTGGGGGAAGGGGCAGGGGGAGGGGAAAAGGCTGTGAGGGGTGCAGATCAAGGCCCCAGTGGAGAGGGATTGAGTGGTGCAGGGGCAGGGGCAGGAGCTGGGATGAATAGGACTATGGCTGGGCCGGGTGGGACAGTGCCCAGGTGGCTCATCCAGGGATGTGGGGGGGTGGGGGGTACTCCCAGTTCTGTGTGCACCCTGGCGGAGGCCAAGGGGGCACATGCTCCCCGATCTGTGCATGGGCTGGAAGTGGCTGCTGCTGCACACTGGGCTCTGTCCGCCGCTGCCTCGAGAGCCATGTGACATCATATGTGTCCCGCCACTGGGTGAGCAAGGGTGCAGCACAGCCCAGCAGCAACAGGCATGTGGCATCGTGCCACTCCTGGGGCAGCTGCAGCAGCACAGAGTCCATCACACAGCAGTAGCTGCCTCCACCTTGCGCACTGATTGGAGTGCATGTGCCCACAGGGCCTCCACTGGGGTGTACACAGTGGTGGGAGCTCCCCTGTGCCCCTGGATGAGCCACCCGGGTTTTGATTATCCCACCACCTGGCCTGGCCAGGGCCCCAGCCCCCCCAGCCCCTGCCCTGCTCCCGCTGTCCCTCACCGCAGGGGCCTAGATCTTCTCCTGCCCCCCATGACTTTCGCCCAGTCCCTTCCCCAACAGACTTACTTGCTGGGTGAAGGGGGGGGCATTTGTGCACTCAGTCCCCCCCCACAATGCCAGGCTGCAATCCTGGGTGCATGCTCATCCCTCCCCACCCCTGCTGCATGGGCTGCCCCGTGTTTGGCGGGGCTGAATCCCATTAGTTCTGGCCTTCCACCATCTATGCTGAGGGCTGCAGCAGCTGCAGCAGCAGCCCCCCCCCAGAAGCTGTGTGCTGGCTTGGCTGGGCCCTTCTGCCCACAAGGGTGGGAGCAAGGCACAATAGGGTATGTTGGAGGTGTGCGTACACATGGGTGCTTCACTCCCACCCTCATAGACAGAAGGGCTGGGTAGGGCATGATTTGTTGATGGGTGCCACGGGCCAAATGAAAATGTTTGGTGGGCCAGATCCAGCCCACAGACCATATTTTGCTCAAGTATTTCTTACAAGTCCACAATCCTTCAGGCTGAACTAGAAAGTAATCCTCATCTTACAAATTTTCAGCAGGCAGTGAATGTATATCCAGTGTCACAGGCCACCTGTGAGTGTATCAATTTAGTTGCAGGCTGACTGGGTGCTGCAGCCCAATCAGCCTGACTGGGCTGTTTGGTTCGGGATCAAGGAGGCAGAGTTGGGAGTGAAGCAAAGGCAAATTTATTATAGCTTACACACACAACAGTTAACAGAAAGATAAATGTGATAAGCAGATAATGCAGTATTAAAGAGCTAATGGTAAATAATAACAACAGATAATAACAACAGATAGATGAATCAATTCTGTCGCAGGCCAAACGGGCACTGCGAGGGTATCAGCCACTGGGCTGTTCAAAACAACAGATAGACAGACATGGGTTGGCAATTTATTGATAGTCCCTCGATGCCAGGTGCATGCCAAGTGATTCCAGCGAAGTCAGGCGTCCCTGATCAACGCTGTCAGAGGGATTACTGGGGAAGTTCCCTTGATCAGGATCCGATCCTTACTCACACCAGGAGTCCGGAGTCCGGGCTGGAACAGCAATGACTGTTCTGTTCCCTCCTTCCTGCTGGTGGCCTGACGCACGCGCTTTTTATACCTAGTCTTATGCTAATCTGTTGATTTTAGAGCCACTCACAATCTTGCCCTATAGCTGTTACCGTATGGGATTGAAAGATGTTAAAAATTATCATAAAAGGTTACTACCTAGACTCGGGTTTATCCAATAAGCAAATTGCAATGCAGCACCTTTAGGTTTGAAACTGACATCACTCTGCCTAATCCTAACCGTTTTAGGTTTCTCTGAATATGCTTTCTTGGGATGTGCTTTCCTGGAATGTGTTGGGTGTGCCAGGCGGTTGGATCCAGTTTTTATCGTCAAGGCTGAACCCTGAGCAAAAACCGTTAGGTCAGCTAATCTTGCAGCTACAGCTTCGCCTTTGGGGCCCAGTCAGTTCCACGATTAATACGAACAGTTAGTTTTATCATTTTGGTTAAACTTATGACAGACAAGTTACATTTGCGCATTACGAACTTACAAGCTTTATATTAGCTAATATTACCTGTTAGGCAAAATACCAAATGCCTCCAAGAAGCACATATTTATTGCTTATTAATCCCTCTGGTTCTGGCCGTCACAACCCAGTACCACCTTGTTCAGCTAATATATCGAGTAGGAGCTGTGTAATATCTTCTAAGCAGTTAAGAATGTACAGGGAATAATTTAAATTTGAGCTCCAAGACATTTTAGGGTTTCCCTCCTACTCCCCCACCCCATTATCTCTTGCCAGAAACTGTTAGGAAGTGATTCTCAAGTTATAATTCTAAATTCACACTTGGTAAATCATAGTTCTGCAAAACCTTGCTGGTGCTCTACTCCACATTTTAACGTGCCTGAGAAATGTTGGAATGGAAGATATAAGCATGCTAAATACTGAAAGATATCACAAATCAAAGGGAGCTCTTAGCATGTGGTCACTGCAAGGACATATATCTGTGCAGCTATAACTTTTGACCTGGACCAAAACATATAATGGTACAAGTAATTTGATCTAAGATTGTAAAGATGCTGAAATGTCTTACTGAATGGATGAAACAGGGGAGAAGAAGAAGGAAGGTGCCATGAAAAGGAAGAGTGAGAGCACTTGCAAAAGAAAGAAGAGAGATGTAAGAAAGAGGAGGAAGAAAGATTGAGACAGGAAGAAGAGGAGAAGAGGCAGATGAAGGAAGAAAGGCTCTGGATGGAACAGCAGACGTGAGTAGTTGGTATAGATGATAAGATTATTAAGAAAACAACACTAACCTATACTCAAGGAAAGTTGCCTTTTCAGTCTGTGCTCCAGAACAGCTTTAGCATTATGGGAAGCCAAAAGTGTTGGGCACAAGCATCCAAAGAGCAAGTAAAGTATGACCTAAAGAGTTTTACAATGCCATTTCTAGATGCCCAGCTTTACAGGGGTGCTGTCTGTGAAGCCTATGGATCCCGGTGTTCAGTGTATTTGGAATCAGTTTGATGTGTAGTTTGTCTTAAGATACAGCCTTCAGTCTGGAATCTGTAGAGGGTGTTTTATGAGCTGTACTTTATACAGAATTGTAGCTCATGTTCCTGGCAAGTTGCTAATGCAACTCTCTGAGCAAATTTTGAGTGTACCCATGAAAAGGTTATTTAAACTGTGATTCTGAAAGGCCTATCTGAACTGAGATTAGTACTTTTTTTCCTTGGGGTTCAGTATACATTACTGTGCTTCAGTTCTATCCACCTAGGGAAATATCCCTGTTGATGTTTGAATTTTTTCTAAGGTTTAGGGTGTTTTCAGTTCCCACTTACTACTGAGCTCTCGCAACTTAGGCTAAAATACCTCTAGAAATCAAGCCACTTCAGGGTGCTTGTACACGTGACATGGGTTTAGTCTAGAGGTGCACCAATACATTGGTTCCATATTGTACCGGCACTAATATAAGGAAAATTAACATTATTGGCAATCAGCTTTTTTTTGGCTGATGTGGCCAAGAATGTCGCTGATAAATGCCCTGTGCAGGCACGCAGCAGCAGTGCAGCACGGTAGCATGGAGAACAGCAGCTGGCTGGTAAGTCTTTTGTAGAGGAAGGGGTGTGGGGGGACAGCAGATTGAGGTCCCCATGGTGAGGGAGGGGGTGGGGCTGGGGAAGGGCATGGGGCAGAGCTGTGGCTCATCTAGGGGATGTGGGGAGGGCCATGGGAGGCACAGGGTCATGTGCCCCCTGGATCTGTGCGTGGGGCAAGAGTGGGCTGCTACTGTGGGCTAGGGCTGGGGACAGCACTGGGCTCTTTCCAGCAGGGGGTTGTCGAGGCTGCACTTGGGGCAGGTGGCAGCATTGGGAGGGAAGGCTATGGGAGGGGCTGCAGCTACCTCAAAATTCACCGTAGCCCCCACTCCCAATGCCACTGTCCTCTGCCCCAAGCGCAGCCCCGGCCCAGCACCCCCACCCCACTGGGAAGAACTGGGCAACATCCCCGCCCCTGTCTGCAGTAGCAGCCCGCCCTTGCCTCATGCAGCCTGGAGGCACATGTCCCACATGCCCTCTAAGGGTGCACATAGTGGCGGGAGCCGCCCCGCCCCCCCGGATGAGCCGCAGCTCCGTCCCCCACCACCCCACCCCAGCTGATCCTTTTTTTTTTTTCCCATGGAGCCTGCCTGCATCTCCTGCAGCTAGAGGGTGAGCTTCCAGCAGGCCAAGCAGCCCCTGAGCTGCAGTTGGGCCCAGTCCTTCTGGTCCTTCCAGTCCTTCCCTCCACAGCAGCAGCACCCCCTAGGGCCGCCTGGGTGGGCTGCTGGCAGGTGGGTGCTGCCTATGGGCACTGTGGCGGGCCAGTAGGGGGTGCTCCTGCATTGAGCCGCCCACCTCCCTGCGCCCGACCACCTTCCAGGCTCCGAGTGCCTCCTTTAGGGTGCCTCCCGTCCAACCGACCCCTTCCCTGGAGCACACCCGCTAGCCTGGGGTTCCCGCTGCCACCATCCAAGGTTCTGGACTCACTTCTGGCTCTGCGCACCTTGGAGAACACAGGCCTGATCGTCCAATAGGTACTAGACCCAATATAAGCACTTGGGGCACTTCCCAAGTCAGGGGCTGATTAGGGAAGCCTCCCTTAGTCCATAGACCTAAGGGGCCTCCTTGGCATAATTTAGACCCACCCCTCAATAAGTCTCCCACACCGGTCACAAAGGAGAACTTTATTGATTACAGGGGTAGGGTGGAAACAGGGTAAAAGGTAGAGCAGTATCATAGAAATATTACAGGAATATCAGAGGAATCCCATAGAGCAAATCCCAAGGAGCAAACCAGGGTGGCGGAGGTAGCCGTTTAAACACGCATCTGAGTTACTGAAGCTAAATATCTAATTGGATCTCTAGTAGCTTACTCACTCGCATCATCCAGAGGTGGTTCGAGTTTCCTCCGGAGGCAAGGCACTCTTGGAGCATGCGGTGATGAGAAGAGAGCCAGTTTCAGATTCACCTGGATGACCGCATGGCTAAATGGCTCCCTTCTTCCTGGCCCGGGCCCTTAAATGACCTCTCTGACCTCAGCAGCCCAGTCCAATCGAAGCTGCCAATACTGGCCACCCGCTGACCAATCTCC